AAAAAAAAATACGTAATATAAATATAAATAAATAAATAAATAAATAAAAATTTTCATTCAGAAACGGTTATGGATCATTAAAAAATTATCTATGAAAATAATATACCTTCACAATTAATTTCTTAGAATTAATTAAGTTTTCTTTTCTTTTCATAAGTGTTAGCTGGGGAGCATTTAATAAAATACATAGGATGACACGTTTTCAACCTAGTCTAGCTCTTTGGCACATATCCCAACCTCCCATTTTTTTTTTTTTTCTGAGGAAAAAATATGCGTCAAACGTGGATAATGTTGTTAATTTTTTTTTTTTTTTTACTAAATTATCATCTCCCTTTTTTTTTTTTTTTGTGATATTCTCAAACTTTTAAGAAATCTATAAAAGAAAGTAAAAAAAAAAAAAAAAAAAATCGTCAAGTATTTGGTAGTAGTAATTGTTAAATTGATTTTTAACCCAAATTCCCATGTTCAGCATTTATAAGGGGTATCAAATTCTAAAAGTTTCAACGAAATTCAATCACAGGTAAAGTAAGTTCTTGTAATGAAAGAAGGAAACTTGAGATATAAACTTGAAAATCTATAAAAAAAATTAACTTTATGAAAATGACACAACAATACATATATATATATATATATATATATATATATATATATAGGTAAATAAAATAAAAATAAAACAGGAAGATAACAACAACAATAACAACAACAACTACTACCACCACTACCAAAGATATTAATCAAACTCGAATCAATGATCAGAATATTAATTATTAATTCATCCTAATCAATCGTTAAAAAAATTAATAATAATAATAATAATATGTAAAAAAATTTAAATTTTGTTCGATAAATATAATATTTACAACATGTCAAAACCTTTCAATGATTCTAAAAACAAATTCATTGCACACTGATAATAATAATAATGGTTAAAGAACCATAACACAATTTTGTTTACATTGTGTAACGAGTAAAAAAAAAAATTTCTACAAAAGAAAATTCTAATATTTAAACCTTGTAAGCACGTGTATATAATAAGATGATTCCACTCGGAAAACTTTCTACTCTTATTTTAAGGAGACTTTACAATAATATCAATTAAATGAAAAGCAAAAAAAAAAAAAAAAACATTTTAGTCTAATTTTGAATAAAAAATATAAAAACGAATGAGTTTTAAATATTGTTTCATGTGCACACATAATACTTTAACTCGTTAGTTTAAAAAACATTTCGAAAACAAATTTCTATGATAATACAAACAAAATAATTATATTTTTGAAAAATTCATTAAATAAACCATTGAATAAAAATTTTATTTCGGGTAAATTATATGCCTTGTAATATATATATAAAAATATCATCATTAATTCTGAACATAAATTTAATTTTTTCAGTTTTCACTCGTATGTTATAAATAAATAAATATGTTTTACACATAATCAGGTAGAATAAACTAAACTTTAAAATGTACATTTTACACAGTTTATTTTCAGTTTTTCTGCTATTTTATCAGATTCAGATTTTTGTTATTTCATAGAAAATTTTTGTTAAAACTTGTATTAAAAAATAAATAATAATAATACTTTGTGACGATAAACTGTAATTAAAAAACTATCATCGTCCATTGAATGTACATCTTTTTAAAACCCTTTCGGTTTATAAGTAAGTTCATTTAATTTTAATATTGTAAATTAAAAACTTATTTTTCATAATAAGTAAGTAGACTGTTCATTTATAAATGTATTATTTTTGCCAATATATGAATAAAAATTAAAAATTTTCATTTAACTTTGTTTGTAATATGTTTTTAAGTAAATACATAGTTTTTAATGATGAAATACAATTTTTACAGGGTAAATATTTATGAGTTTTCAGCTAATTCCAAGAAAACCAAACCTACAGTTAATGCATAACATCATCAATGAGGATTTGATCAATCAAAACAAACCTTATGCATGTAAGAGATGTAAAACCTTGTGTGAAAATAAAAATCCAATTGAGTTGTAAATAGTATTTATAATTTACTTAAGACGGTGATTATATTTGTACAAAATAAACTCACTGAATTAAAATAAAATATGCGAATCATTTCATTCATGGTTGTTGTGACATTTCGTGTGGCAACACTGTGACAGCCTTGTCAATAGACGCCCGATTGTCAGTACATGATTTATAATTTTAAACAAAGAAACCGTTCGAAATTCTTCGTTTACCTCGTTAATAATATAATAAAATCATTTCTATACTTACCTTGAACTGTTTTTAATAAGTTAAAACTCAGATTATGATGTAAATAAACAGTATTTTCAAACCGAAATTCCCGAAACCCCCGAACGGTAAATTAAATAAAAACGGAATCCTAAAATTCTACTCGACGGAATTTTTTTCATAAAGATCCTATTAATATCTAGTTAATAAAAACACAAGTTGATAATTTGTATATTTCAATTTTTTACAATTAAAAACATTATTCACACTATTAATTTACATATAACATTTCCACGGATTGCATCCGATATTATTTTTTATATTTCATCACCCTTCCAATAAACATTTTGTTTTTGCCTACTACAAAATGGCTGACAAACGCATGCGCACTACGAAGGTTTTTGACTTCTGAATACTGTTTCTTAGTGGGCATTTTTTTTTTTTTTTATTAATTTTAAAATTTTTTTCTTATTTATTAACTAATAATTTCAAAAGTTGCATTTTAATAATTAAATTATTATTTTATATATGTATATGCATATTTGATTTTAACATATAAGTTAAAAAATAATTAGCAGAAAGTATTTATTTTATTTCAATCTGTAAAATAATTTAAATGAAAGTTTTGACGTTTAACCTAATTCTAAACATTAAAAGCCTTAAGGAGCTAAAAAAAAAAAAAAAAACGTTGAAACTTAATAAATGCCAATTTAAGGATATTCAATTAAATTTAAAAAATTTAAATTTATTTATTTATAATATTTTTATTTTAAATTTAAATCAAAATTTAATGTACTTCATAATCTGAAAAATTAATAGCATAAACAAAGTCTTAATTGCAATTTTCTTTTTTGCAATCATTAAATAAAATTTAAACTAAAATTATTCTTCTTTTTTTGATACATACAAATTATCAAAAGCTTTTCCCCAAAAATTTTTCTCAATAGAATCTTGTAAAGATTTCTTTTCGTCTAACTGAAATAAAATATATATATAACAAATTATTTGAAACGAAATGTAAAAACTTATCTTAAATATTAAAGCAACTCTTATTTAGCTCATATTTTAATAATAATAAGAGAAAAATTTATTTATTTTTGTTTATCAAAACTAATTAAAACTTAATATCATAATAAAAAAATAAAAAAATCATAAAACTTAACTGACTTTTTTCAATTCCGAGTTGATATTGGGGTCACCTGGTTTCAGTTTAACTGCTTTCATTAGCCATTTTTTAGCGGCAGGAAAGTTAGACAAATTCAATGATGCTTTACCATAACTAAATGTAAATTAATAACTTATTATCTAAATGTAAATATTAATAATTTCATTTTTAAAATATTTTTACTGGTTAACTTACTGGTAATAAGCTTTAACATTTTTATGATCTATTGCCAGTACATCTTGGCAAGCAAGGCAAGCTTGTTCATATTTTCCAATTTTGTTATAACACAAAGCTAAATTTATCAAAGATTTTGATTTTTGCTCGAGAAGAACTTTTTCTTCAGTTTTATTATCAACTGCTGTCGAATTGAGAATCATTACAGCCTTTTTAAAACTGAAAATTATTTGCCATCGTTATTTGATTTTAAGACAATGATAATCAAACATAAATTTTGTATTATGTTACCTTGATATTGCAGATCCGAGTTTTTTGCATTTAAATTCATCATTTCCATTTTTATGATGCAATTTTGCTTCATTTATGTTTTTTATAAAATCTCTTTTTATTATTTCATTGTCATCTCCATTTAAATTTCCAGTATTTTCAAATTCAATATTAGTGTAATCTACTAAAGTTATGTCGGCCACAATGTCACATTCTAAAAATATTAGTAAATTAATTATAAAATTACTTAAGTCACAAAAAAATTTACTTAATTATTATACTAACTTGGTTCGATTCTATCTGGGCAACCTAAACTTCCAAAAGCATATTCCCATTTAATAAAAAATCGAGAATTTTCAGACTTTTTCATCGTTTTGACAGCATAATTTAGACCCAATATGGTTTCAACTTGATCAAGTCTAAATTTTTCTGGTTTATTTCTAAAATATGTTGAATCAAAGGGTAAATCATGATGCTCTTTGTATAAGTTATAATGAACAGTGACATAAGAATTTTCAGGTACTACTGCTCCTATTCCACAAACAATAATCTGAAATGATAAAAGAACAATATATTTACATTTTTCTTTAAACTATTTAAAATCCACCACTTTTAATAAAAATTGTTAACGTTAAAGTTGTTAAAGTTAACAAACAAAGTAATTTACGTAATGACAAAGTAAAATAAAATATTATGTGTGACTTTCATTAAATTAATGAAATTTCAAGAGGATTCAACATTTTGGGTGCCATCATAATAAAATATTATTATTACATATACACATGGTAAATAAATTTACCTGTTTCTTAACGAATCCATTTTCAGTAACGTTTGTCATTTGTGATGCCAACTCTTTAAAACTGCAGTCAATCGGAGGAGCTCCTCTTTTTTCTTGTAGACATTTTGAATCAGCATACAGAATATCATTAAAAATATCAGGATCTTCATCCTTCATAATTTTATCATTGTAACTGTTGCTAATTTCAAATACAACATCTAAACAAAAAATTGTAAAATAATATAAAATAAATATAAGTTATTAGTATATTCAAAAAATTGTATAATTTTTTTTACATACCTTTTCCATCAAATAATTCTTTTAAATTAATTCCATTAACAACTTTTTTTGGATTTGTGCTTCTGTATGACGGCCCATTTATTTCGTCCTTTTCTTCATCATAATCAAAACAATAATCCTTCATCGCTCTGAGACTGAAACGATAATAAAAATAAATTATTAAATTAAATAAAAAACGATAATAAAATAATAAATGAAATATTTTTTGACAAGTAACTTTACTCACCTAACATCATCGTTATCCATTTCTAACTTTTAAATCTACTTTACGGTAAAATTTTTAGTCTAGCTACACTTCATTTTAAAAAATTCGTTATCTACTGACACTTTTTAGTGCAATTCCATTTTTTAAATTTTCAACTACAAAGTTTATAATAATTAATATTTTTATAAGTAATGTTTCTTTTTTTGAATTTTAAGTAACATTTTTGTTATAAATATAAAAAGTTAGACATGTGTGTGTGTTTTTATCACTCGGATTCGTACGCAGGTATTAAATTTTTTCATTTTTTTTACAAGTAAAAAAAAAGTAAAAAAAAAGGCAGACAGAAATTTCCAAAATGGCGGCCTGGTTAATGTTCTTTACGAATGATTAATTTTCTAAATGGCGTAAAAAAACTTTTAATAATTTATTATCTGAGATTTTAATCATGCGTTTATGCTAAATAAATAAACAAAATAAAATAATTTTTCTCTTATGTACGGGTAATAATTATTTAACATGAATATATATTTTACTTTTATATTAATTAAATTAAAAATTAATACATATTTATAAGGAAGGGGATTTTAATAAATATTAAATTAATTTTAAAATCTCATGTGGAAACCTTATAAAAATAATAACAACACATAAATTATAAACCATAATAATAATGATAATAATAAATTTTAAAATTTCAAATTACATCAAATATTTTAAATAAAAAAAAGGTGTGTGAGTCAAATAATAATAATAATAATAATAATTCATTTTTATTTTTTATTTTTTATATTAATAATTTTTATTTATTAATAATAATCATAATAATTATAATAATAATAATATACATAATTTAATGTATATTTTTTATTATATATATATATTTTTTTTTGTCTTAAAATATTTTCTTATTCATAATTTAAATAATAATAATAATAATAATAATTTTTCATTTTGTTTTTGTTTTATATGAACATACAATTTTTAAACTTTTTATTTTACCACATTTTATTTATTTTAGCATTTATATATGATATGCTTTCAGCAAGAGTATTAATTAATAATGTACAATAATAATAATAATAAGTTTTTTCTTCTTGTGGGTGGGTGGGTGTGGGTGGGGGGAAGGGGGAGGGGGAATTTACAAATTTAGGCACGACCAACATTTTTTGTCATTTTTTGTATTTTGTCTTGCATGCAAATGCACAATTTATTAAACAAATAATAAAATTGTCAAAAATTTTAAATTGGCTGTTGCCGGCACGAATTTTCTTTTTTTTTTTTTTTAATTAGTAATGATTTTGTGATTCCATTGATTACAAATCATTTCTTTAAAATATTAAATAATAATAATAATAATAATTAAATTATTTATTTATTTATTTAAATTTTTTTAAATTTAATTAAAAATAATCGACACGATCATCGCAAATATTTACATTTTTTTTTTTTTTTTTTTTAATAAATGTGCTGAAAAAAAATCGTTAATAAATTATATAATAATAATAATAATAATAATAAGTAAATAAACTATGACGAATTTATTATTATTAAACATTTAATTAATCTACTTGAAAATTATACAGAAATTTATTTATTTATTTACTTATTTATTAGTGCAAATTATTATTAAAAAGCTTTATTATTTTAAGGTGCTCATTAATAATTTAATAAATTTTTTTTTTGTTTTGAATAATATCGCGGGGGCGGGGGCGGGGGGTTGGGAAAGAAAGGGAATTTAAAAATTATTATAAGAAAAATTCTATTTTTTCTATATATAACTACGAAATATTTTTGTTTGTTTGTTTTCCATTCCACACTTTCATTTTTCTTTTTTTTTAATAATAATAATAATAATAATAACAAAATGTTATTTTTTTCATTTGATTTTTCAACCCTAAAAATATTTTTACAAAAAAAAACCGAACAACAACAGCTTTGACTTGGAAAATTCATAAAAAAAAAAATTTATGTAAATTTATTAGAATTTCTTTTTTTTCTGTCTGTCTAAATTTCTCTTTTTCCTTTGTTTGTTTCAAAATAACCAATAAAAGGGGGGGGTGGGGAAAGGAAAACAAAACGATTACAAATAATTTTATATTTTTCCCTTGTATAGAAAGAAAAAAAAATCCAATGGAAAAAACGAAAAAATGAAATTTTCAATTAACTTTTTTTTTTGTTCAAACGTCAGCAAAAAAAAATAAACCTGTGAAAATCCCCTTGTCGACTCCCCCTCCCCCATTTATATCCCTCTCTCTCTCTTTCTCTCTCTCTCTCTCTCTCTGTGGACTTTTACGCAGCCACCCGTTTCCTTCATTAGTAAATTTTGCATTTTTATTATTTTTTTTTGGTTATTTGTTTTTGTTGGGTGTGCCTTTGCATTTTCCATTAAAACATATTAGTTTTCCCATGTTGGAAAAACGGAAAACTTGAGAGAAAACATGTTACAATACAAACTAATCGATATTTTTATCGATAAAAAAAAAAAAAATTAAAATTATTTACTCGCTGATATTATTATTATTATTTTTTTCACACTACTAAAAAAAAAAAAACAAAATTTATAATAATAATAATAATAAATTAACGTTTTGTACTGTAGAAAAAAATAAATGATGATTCTCAATTTTTTTGTATTGGTTAACGATACCGAAAAATTTTTTTGTAATGGGTCGTTATATATATATAGTGAGTGATAATAATAATAATAATAAAGTAATATTTTGATATGTTGTGTGCGTTCGAACTTTTAAAAAAAAAAAATCATTTTTTCATTTTTTTATTTCAATTTTACGAATGTTTAAACGAAAAAAAAAAATTATTTATTCGTTTCACGACAGCCATCAGCTTGCACAAAAATAATTTTTTATTTTTATTATAAAAAAAAAAAAAAAATATTTAAACGAGAAATGAAACGTATCATTATTATTATTATTATTATTATTATCATCATTTGTTTGTATTATATCAAAAATATATTTATGATTTTGATTGAATTTTTTATAAAATAAAAATGTCGTCATCGGGTTTACTACATTTTATTTTTTTTTTTTTTAAATGTTAAAATCAGACATTTTAATAATAATAATAATAATAATAATAATAATAAAATGTTGAGCAGAATAATTGACCTAGATTTTTTTTAAATTTGTGATATATTTTTACTTTTTTTTTTTTTTTTAAAATAAAAAAGCAAATACGTGTATGTTTAATCAATACGTAACCAAATAAAGGGAGAAAAAATTTAACCAACACATTATGAGAATCATCATTTTTTAAATCCTAATTAATTTCTATGTGTGTAAAATTATTATAAAAATAAATGACATATATGTTTAATAATAATAATAATAATAATAATGTAAATACGTGCGAATTTGTGTTTGTTTGTTTTTCTTGTTCGTTTAACGTTTGAGCTTTTTTTTTTTTTTTCTTTTAAAAATGCATTAATAATTTTAAATAATTACGTTAAAAACGAATGATTTTTTTTTTATTTTTCGTGCCATCGATTAATTAATTCGTTAATTAAAATATTTTTCCCCCCGATAATAATAATAATAATAATAAAGTGAAATAAGGTGGAATAAAATGACTAAAATGTAAAAATGTTGATTTTGAACCCTTTGATTGACAATTTTGTATTTGATTGTTAGATTTGATATTTTCTAAAATAAAAAAAAATTTAATTTTAAAATGGCTACCGTCGCGAATTTTAAAAAAAAAAAAAATTTTACTTGTCACTTACTTGTTAGTGCTAATAATTGGGGCAAATATTTTTTCCAAAATGCACACTGTTTAAGCCTTGGACCCCTTCCCGTAGACGTATTATTCACTGCTAATGTAAGGTATTCTCTACCGTGTGCAGTGTGTTCGGGCCATACAACAGGAGTCCATGTTCCATCTTCGGACATGCTCGGATTTCTAAAAGATTATAAACGTCATAATTTTATTTTATGTTCTTGTAAATAATAGAAAATTCTAACAAGTTTTTTTTTTTTTTTTTTTTTCTTACCCTGTTTTAGCAAAATTGGCCCAATATCTCATGATTCGCCTGCTGAGTTCCTGTTCTTCGACTCGATAATTTTTAAGTGGATTTAAAGGCTCGCCAAATATGTAATTAATTTCATCACCGTGCATGACACCCGTCCAAGATGGCCATGGATTTCCGGCGCTTCGGTGAGTGAAATAATACATGTAAACTTTATTTCCTGTTTCCGCGTATCGATGAGCGAATTCATTAACGCTACATGTAAAATGATAATCTCCGACCATTTTATCTAAAGCATCTCTATTACGTGCCGGATCGTCCGGATTTAACCAGTCGGTATATTCGAATATGATCGCTTGCCTTGCTATGTTATTTATGTACGGATTTAATTCTCTTACCGCTTTTATGAATTCGTCTCTATTGACGTAAACGTTTTCTTCTTTTCTAAGCAATTCAGTTAGATAATATATAATAAAGTAGTATCCTTCTTCCGTGTTGGAACCCATTAGAATATTTGTTTTCTTGAAATTTTTATTCGCTAATGCTAACTCGGGTAATTCGTCTAAAAATGCTCCGTCTATAACGGGTACGAAAGGGAATTCGCAAATTCCAAGAGTTCCCCATTCGTTATTAACTAAAAGTGAAGCATTTGTATTACGCAAACATTCTATGACGGCAGACAATTGAAAACGATCATGAGGACAATTGACAGCTTCGGCAAGGCGAAGGCCTCGCAATATGCTTTCTTCCGTTGGTATAATTGCCCAAGGAGCCGTAGGAGATCCGGATTCCATGATCGCTTGACTAAATAAATTTCTGCTGAGAGGAGATAATAGATGAGTGCTCACGGACACCGCTCCCGCCGACTCTCCGAACAATGTGACGTTATATGGATTTCCTCCGAAAGAACGAATGTTA